ACTGATAAAGCAATATTTCATTTGTCTGTTACCTATTAATAAATGACCCGTTTATTTTGAAAGTGGTCCAAGTCCATTTTCCCAAGACATCGAGCTAGCTATCTTAATATTTATGTTTCTACGTTATATATCATCCCATTTCAGCGAAAACGCAATAACCCTTAGAAACACAAAAACATTTACCACAAAAACATTTAACATTTTACCATGTTATCAGTTACCAATATTTTTTAAATTTATTACCACGCAAAATCCTTACATATCTGGATTTTAAAATAAATGGACTTAGGCCACTCTTTCAAAATAAACGGCACAAATACCATATTTTATAATATTCTTCTATGTATACTTTGAAATCGTCTGGTATTTTTGTACAACTAAGTTTCACAAGAGTTAATTACCTTAGTTTTCATGCTCACTGATTTATATTAATTGGCTTCTAAGCTCTCCATATGTCTGACAATGAATTATTAACATATTAAAAACAATATGGAATAAAGATAGTATTATCTTACGTGAAAACAATATTTTCTTATATATTATTCATACGTGCTGATGTGTGCTAGAATAATAATAAAAACAATGTAAAATGAAGTACGGTTGACTCTTAATCAGTACTTTCATAACAATATGTTTTATCTTACCAAGATACCACAAGCTATACGTAATTCATAGTAAATAAACTCGATAAAATTTAGCATAATATTAACGCGACAATAACGTTTACAAATCGCTCATTTCTTGCAAAAACAAATGTGAATGTCCTGGATGCATATTCTTAAATCTAAAAACATTTTCATACAACTTTTTATCAAATTCACATTAAAATGCAAAAATTGCTTTAGTCTATATTATAATATTATAAATGCTTACAATTAGTTACCCTTGACATAATCTCTACTTCGATTTATAACACTATTAAAACGAAAACAAAAAATTAGTTACAATTAGTAATATGTCGTCATTCTTACATGACTAACAAAAGCCGTACATTACTCTATCAATAACATTATAAGTTAAATTAATAAATTATTAACGGTAAAGAAAAGAAATGCTCCAATTACATTGAACATCCACAACTGTATTTATTGTACACGCTTATAATAATTCAGGGCATTATTCAGCACTTTTTCAAAACATATTTATATAAATATTTCTTACAGACTTTCTGTTGTTCATAACGTAACTGCAATTTATTTTATTTAATTGTCGAGAATTGAGTAATCATGTGAAAGATCTAGATACTCTGGGTCAAAATTGACACAGCCACCGTCTTGCGGGGATTAATAGCAGTACCGTAATAACATAAAGCGTGATATATATCATGAAATTTTAATATGATTTATATTTCATATTCAACTATGTGCAATAAACATATGTCAGTGTTGAAGTTTCAATTAGATTAAAAAATATTACGTCATCCTACAAATCGTGTAGTTTCTTAATATTAACTTCAAATGTAAGCAAATAATATCCACATTTATCTTTAACCGTTGATGGCATTGACCATCGTTTTCAATAACGTTCTTCCATATGTGAGTAAATTTTCGGCTCTGTTTTCAAAAATCTCCTGGTCTTTCGAATTCAAGCTGCCTCTATCGAAGCATTTAATCCTTCGATATGAAACGTTGTCGACCTGCGGTTTATCGAAACAGACAAAACTGCATATCTCTCTTTGGGAAATCACTTTCAACACTTTTTAGCCCCCGAAGCATCATCGCTGTATTCGTCACAAATATTTTTGAAAGCCGCGTTTATCTATACTATATTGTTTAAATTCATACAATACGTGATACCGCAAATGTATTTCATTAGTACTCGTCCTTGGCCTTTGTTTAATAGAAAATACCGTTCCAAATGTTTCGAGTGCAAATTGCAGACAAGATAATATTTTTTAAAAAAGTATAGGGAAAAGTA